CCCCATCTCTTTGTTGCCTCCCTCTTTCTCCCTCCCTACTTCATGACTTCTTTCTTCAGAGACAGCTCTCACTATGTAGCCCTAGCTGGCATGAAACTACTATGTAGACCTGTTGACCTTAAACTCACAGATGACCCACCTCTTCTTTCTGAGTACTAAGATGAATGGTATTTGCCACCAGGCCCAGCCTCTCTGGGTTTTTTGAGATAGGGTCTCACATTGCCTGGGCTGATCTCAAACTCACTATGTAGCTGAGGATGACCTTGAATTCCTGATTCTCCTGCCTCTACCTCTCAAGTGGTGAGATTATAGGTGTGCATCGTCATACCTAGCTCAATCATTCCTTTTTCTTTCTTGTATTGGGGATTGAACCTAGGGCCTTGTGTTTGCTAAGCAGTTCTTCGACCACTGAACTATAACCTCAGCCCTTGGGGTTTCTTTTCTTACTATTATTATTGTTGTTTCTGCTGCTGCTGCTGTTGTTGAGATGGGCTTAGTATGTAGCTGTTGCTGGCCCTGAATTCACAGAGATCCTACTGCTGCTGCCTCCTAAATACTGGGATTACATTTATACCACTTCAGGCTTTAGTGGTTTTTCCTCATTTTTTTTAGATTTATTTTATTTATTTTTATCTTTTGGTTTTTCGAGACAGGGTTTCTCTGTATTGTGATGCTGTAACGATAAACGGCATACTTACTGAAAGTAAAACTAAGTATTTATTGTAGAAATTACTCATAAGAGACCAAACAAGTAACCCAGATGAGCCGAGTAGTTTTCCCCGCCAAACTGGAAGCCGAAAGCCGGAAAAAGAGACCAACACTTCCGTTGTTCAATCTTTTATACCTTCCCCCAGAACGCCCCCTAGCCATGCCCAAAAGTGGGCCTGGCTAGTGACATAGTTCACCGCCTACAGTATTGTTTTGGAGGCTGTCCTGAAAGTTGATCTGTAGACCAGGCTGGCCTCAAACTCAGAGAGATCTGCCTGCCTCTGCCTCCTGAGTGCTGGGATTAAAGGTGTGCACCACCAACGCCCGGCTTGATTTATTTTATTTTTATTTTATGTGTATGAGGGTGTAACAAGCATTCTTCCTGCCAACCTAGTCCCAGAGTCACATTAGTCCCGAATGAACACACAGGATGCCATATTAATTATGAAGCTATTGCCCATTTGCTATGGTTTCTCACTTAATTATTAACCCATAACTGCTAATCTGAGTATTTCTAGGTAGTCTTCTCTTACCAGAGAAAGGGTCCGTACCTCTTACTTCTCTTGCGTCCTGCATGATAACTGACTGTGCCTCCATTTCCCAGAATCCTCCACTTCTCCTAGTCCCACCTATCTTGCTTCCCTATTGGCCAACAGTGCTTTATTCATCAACCAATAAGACAAACATATATATATATATATATATATATATATATATATATATATATATACACATACACAGAAGGACTTCCCCCATCATAAGTGTTTTGCCTACATTCATGTATGTGCACCATGTGTGTTCCTGGTGCCCAAAGCATCTAGAAGAGAGGACATTGGATCCCCTGGAATTGGAGTTATTGTTTGTGAGCTACCATGTGGGTTCTAGGAACTTAACCTAGGTCCTGCAAGAGCAGCAAATACTCTTAGCCACAGGGACATCTTTCCAGTCTCCTCAGTGGTTTCTCAAGGATCTTAAAAAGCCTCAGTATTTGGGTTAGTAGATTTGAGGGAACTAGAAAGATAATACAATTTATTGGGATATGGGAAAGGAGCCCCTCACTGTATAGCAACTGGTTGAGCCTCTTACATGCTGAAAGTCAAGAATTCCACTAAAATTACTGCAAAGTTGCCAACATAGAGACAATATTTCTTTTATATGAAAATATTTTCAAATAAAAAATGTTGAAGTAAGCTGGGCGTTGGTGGCACACGCCTTTAATCCCAGCACTCGGGAGGCTGAGGCAGGCCCGATCACTGTGAGTTTAAGACCAGCCTGGTCTACAAGAGGTAGTTCCAGGACAGCCTCCAAATCCAGAGAAACCCTGTCTCGAAAAACCAAATAAATAAATGAATAAATAGAATTGTTTTCAAAATTCCTGAACTGCCATTGCACAAGTGTGCATGCAGGGTGTGTGTGTGTGTGTGTGTGTGTGTGTGTGTGTGTGTTTGTATGCACACACACAAAAGAAAAATCTTCAGTGTTTTTCTTCCACTTTTGGGGTGGGGAGGTGATGGGTTCTCTCATTGGCTGGCTCGTGAGTGAGCTCCAAAGGTCTGTCAGCCTCTTGGGTTCACATCACCACACTCAAGATTTTCACGTAAATCTTCTGGATTAAATTAGGTCCTCAAAATTATGTAACAAACATTTTACCAGCTGAGATATTTCCACAGCCCAGTTACTTCCTTCCTTCTCTTCTTCCTTTATCTTTGTCTCCCAGACTAACCTCAAACTCATTGTGTAGTTGGAGACAGCCTTGAATTCCTGATCCTCCTGACTCTGCCTTTTAGGATGGTATTATAGGCATGAGCCACCATCCCTGGTTTATGTCACTGTCTTAATCGCTGTTCTATTGCTATGAAGAGACACCATGACCAAAGCAACTCTTATTTAAAAAAAGCATTTAATTGGTCACTTGCTTACAGTTTCAGAGGCTTAGTCCATTATCATTATGACAGGGAGCATGGTAGCAGAGCATGGCTGCAGGTAGTGTGGTGTCTGAGAGGTAGCTGATCCATAAGGAGGGGGGGGCATCTGGGCTTGTCATGGGCTTTTGAATCCTCAAAGTCCCCCCCTCTCCAGTGATGGACTTCAAAAAGGCCACACCTCCTAATCCTTCTAATGGGGGATGTTGGGGAGGCAGCATTCTTATTCAAACTACCATTGTAATGTTGGGTGTCTTAGTTACTTTTCTATTGATGTGAGGCAGCTTATAGAAGAATTTACTGGGGCTCATGGTTCTAAAGGGTTAGACCATAATCATTATGGCAGGGAGCATGGCAGCAGGCAGGCAAGCATGGTGCACGAACAGTGTAACTAAAAGCTTATGTCTTGATATGAAAGTAGGAGACAGAAAGAGAAAGCTAACTGGGAGTATGGTAAGCTTTTGACACCTCAAAGCCTGCACCCTAGTGACACATCTCCTCCATCAAAGCCACGCCTCCTAATCCTTCCCAAACATTTCCACCAACTGGGACATTCAAATATATGAGCCTATGGAGGCCATCGTCATTCAAACCACCACATAGGAGATCAAACGCAGGACACTGTGTGTGCTGGGCTGTGGTGATATCTTGCTGGTGCTCTAATAAATAAAGCTTGCCTGGGGATCAAAGTGCAAGTGGGGCGCTATCCACCAGTTAACCCTTGGGGCCAGGCTCTTGGGATCCCAAGCCTTTAATCCCAGCGCCAGTATGGTGGAGAGACGAGTAGAAGGTGGGAGGAGACCGGAGCTTTCCCGTTTTTGGTCTAAGAATTTCTTAGAAGTAAGAACTCTAAACCAGGCCGGGTGGTGGTGGCGCATGCCTTTAATCCCAGCACTTGGGAGGCAGAGGCAGGCGGATCTCTGTGAGTTTGAGACCAAGCCTGGTCTACCAAGCAAGTTCCAGGACAGGCTCCAAAACAATACAGAGAAACCCTGTCTCGAAAAAACCAAAAAATAAATAAATAAAAGAACTCTAAGCCAGGCGTTGGTGATGCAAGCCTTTAATCCCAGCACTTGGGAGGCAGAAGCAAGCAGATCTCTGGGAGTTCAAGGCCAGCCTGGTCTACAGAAGAACTCTAGTGACTGGCTGCTTCTCCGATTTTTCAGCTTTCACCCACTAATATCTGACTCCAGGTTATCCATTGAGTTACAGACCTAGCTCATTGTCATTATTTCTTTTGAGAAACCTGCCTGACTCCATTTTAAAGACAAGTGCCATTATGCTGTATTCTTAAAAATAAGTTTTTATTTCCTGTGAAAGTTGAGTAGCTGTTTCCTGGAACCTGACCTTCCTCAACCAATGGCCTTGATTTGTTTTTTAGAATACCCTGGCCCTCCCTGACTCTTCCTGATTCTCCCTGACCCTCCTTGAGGCCTTCTAATCACCTGGTGGGTAATCACATGATTTTTTAAAAAGTTTTTTGTTTGTTTTGTATATTTCCTTATTGCCCCATTATCTCCCTTTTGTGAAAGTATTTGGGTGATTTTATTCCTTAAAAGGGGCCCGAGAGGTGAATTCAGGGCTTCTCTCTTTAGCCCAACTTAGGAGGCAGTCGCTGGCCAGCTCTTGAGTGCACCCCAATAGAAATCAAGCTTGCTTTAAAATCAGTTCAAATTGTGGTAGTGGTCATATTCTTACTGTTGGGATTAATACTTTTATAATTTTTTTCTTTCTCACAGACTTCTGATTCTTTATCTTATATTAAATCCTATTACAAGGTTTTTTGTACTATAAGACTTTTATACTCCACATTTTATTGCATTAATGGCCTTTTATTTCAGCTTACCAGTATATTTTTAAGATCTGTTTTTCTTTTTTAAAGATTCATTTATTGAGGCAGGCGGATCTCTGTGAGTTCGAGGCCAGCCTGGTCTACAGAGCGAGTTCCAGGACAGCCTCCAAAGCCACAGAGAAACCCTGTCTCGAAAAACCAAAAAAAAAAAAAAAAAAAGATTCATTTATTTTTATTTAGGAAGTAGAATTACAAATGGGTTTCAACTGCCATGTGACTTTTGGAATAGAATCTGAACCTAGGTCCTCTATAACAGCAGCCAGTCTCTTAACTGCTGAACCATCTCTCTAGCCCCAAATTACAGTTTTTTAATAATACATTTGGTTGTTGACCATTTCGTCCCCTATTGCTATTTGTTCTTATTTGCATATACTACAGAATTTCAGCATTTTACTTTTCGAAGTTTAAAGTAAAATCCCCTTAAAAAATTGAAATTATTCAACCTATGGTGGAAAGCTTCAAGTTAACAAAAAATATTCTCAAGAATTTTTAAAGCCTTCTAAAAATATCACTAGGCTTTAAAAATATTTTCCTTTTTTATTCCCCAAATGGTGCCAGCTGTGCAATTTTGCTTCCAGCCAGAATATTGCTTTCAACTTCCACTGAGTGTTTTTTCCCTGCATTAAGCAAGCTATTTTGGATGACATTTGCCATAGCCTGAGAGAATACTGAAATGTGCTTACATATTGCAAGACATAAAATTACTACATGTGATTAGATATGCAATGAATAAATTGCAATCATTTTAGATTTTTAAAGTTTTTTTTCTTAAAGTCCCTTTCTTTAATTTTTTTTTCTATTCTGTGGTCTTTAAGAGAATAAGTGAGGGGGTTCCCCTCTTGTACTGTAAGATATTTGTAGACATTGCCCCAAATACCACCTGGATCCCCAAGAACAAGGTGGGAACAGCCCTTTTGAAGGACATCATAGAACAGTGTCTCTGTACTGACCACGGACTCAGTACATCAAGGCTTTTCCCGTTCTGCATGTGTTGTCTCCTATTGCATTTTCTATTCTTTCAGCCGATTGGCTTATTTTCTCACCTCAGCAAACCCAATCTCATCACCTCTCAGTACTCTCCCCATTCAAGGACAGCTAGTCTTACAGATCAACCTCTCCTGACCCTTCCTTCCTAGACTCTCTCCCCTGAACTGGCCACTCAGGTACCCTGGCCAACATCCCTTCCACATCCTCAGTATCCTGAGAGCAAGGAAGGAAGGGAAAGGAGGGGAAGACAGAAACACTCAAGGTCTTACTTGATTTTTTAAAGACAATGGGCAGAACGCTTTGATTACTAAGCAGGGCCCTAAGGACTCCAAACTCCAGCCATAGCAGTTTGGTTTCAAGTGTGGTGGCTTACGTGACTTTGCTCTCCTGTTCCACTGAAGCATTTGGGTAATATACACACTTTTTCTTCTTGGCTAGGGGGTAATGTACACACCTTTTCTTCTTGGCTAGGGGGTAATGTACACACCTTTTCTTCTTGGCTAGGGGGTAATATACATACCTTTTCTTCTTGGCTAGGGGGTAATATACATACCTTTTCTTCTTGGCTAGGGGGTAATATACACACCTTTTCTTCTTGGCTAGGGGGTAATGTACACACCTTTTCTTCTTGGCTAGGGGGTAATATACATACCTTTTCTTCTTGGTTAGGGGTAATATACATACCTTTTCTTCTTGGTTAGGGGTAATATACATACCTTTTCTTCTTGGTTAGGGGTAATATACATACCTTTTCCTCTTGGTTAGTGAGTTCTGCTTGAGTTCTGATTTATTGAGGATTGATTACAGTGGGGCATCAGAGAGGCCTGGCCAACTATGAATGAACTGACCTACACTCAAGCATATACAGCTCTGAATTATGGCCCCTCCTACTCTCTCCTCTTCCCACTCTCTCCCTCTCTTTTGTGCCTCTGTCTCCCCCACACCAGGCTCTCTCTCTCTTAACATAGGATTTGAAAAAACAAATATATATGTCTGTAGCGGTTTGAATGAGAATAGCCCCCATTGGTCTATATGTTTCAATGCTTGGTGCCCAGTTAGTGGAGCTATTTGGGAAGGATTAGATGGTATGGTCTTTGAATAGGTGTGACATTTTTGGAGGAGTTGTGTCATGGGGTGGGCTTTGAGGTTTCAAAAGCTCATGCCAAGCCCTGTCTGTCTGTCTGTCTGTCTGTCTGTCTGTCTGTCTGTGCCTCCCTCCAGCTTCCCCTACCTCCACCTCAAGGCCTTTGCCTCTGCCTCTGCCTCTTTTTACAACTTTTGAATCAGAAATGAGCTTGCAGCTACTGTTCAAGCACTGTGCCTGGCTGCCTGCTGCCATCTTCCCTGCCATGAAGGCCATGGATACCGTAAGTAACCTCCCAATTCAATGCTTTCTTCTAAAAAGTGTCTTGGTCATGAGGTCTCCTCCAAGCAATAGAAATTATCTAAGACAATATCCAAATGTATTTGCTAATTTTTGTTACTATGATAAAACATCATGACCAAGAACAACTTGAGAAAAGAGTGTTTTTGGCTTGTGGTACCACAGGGAGAGTTCACAGTGGCCGAAGAGGCATGGCAGCATGCTGCTGGATCACAGAGCCTATTAATCCCATCTTCAACAGCAAACACAGAGAGGAGCATGAACTGGAAGGGGGCCAAGGTTATGAACTCTCAACCCTGCCCCCATGAATTTACTTTCTTCATCAAGGCTCCAACTCTTAAAGGTCCCACAACCTTTCTCAAACGGTGCCAGGAACTATATTTCTTATTCAAAGTATCACATAAAATAAAAAGAAAATTATGTTACATCCAAGAATATGAGAGCTTGTTTGGGGGTTCTAATAGGGAAGCACAGCTACTCATATACCAAGACTGGGGTCCTTCTTCTGTATGGGAAGGTCATCCTCTTTGGTCAAGGGCAGGGGAGGGAGGAAGGCGTTCTTACTTAGCCAGTTAGAACATCTAAATGTACCCTGATGATCAGTTGGGTGAAAGATACTGTAGCCAGGTCCCCATCACATCCTGCATCCAAGCAGATGAACAAAAAAGTATGGCTACTCCAAAGTGTCAGCAACAAAATTTGAGCCATTATAAAACAGGAAAGAAAGTTGGTGCTGTTCACACCTGTAACTACAGTCCAGGCTGAGCAAAAGGACTACTGAGAGTTTGAGGTCACTCACAAAAAGAAAATGTCATTTCTATTCTCAGTTGTGACCACTGGCTCCCTGTAAGCATATTTCTGGAAGTTCTGGGCAGTGTCCAGTCTGTGCATCTTGTCGTCAGACCTGGAAAAAGTCAAGGAAAGTGAGGATTTTCTGTTCACAAACAGGTGAAGGATGTCAAACACAAGATCAAGAAAAAGGAGATGGGGCTGGAGAGATGGCTCAGCAGTTAAGAGCACTGGCTGCTCTTCCCAGAGGTTCTGAGTTCAATTCCCAGTTACCATATGATGGCTCAAAACCATCCGCATTGAGATCTGGTGCCCTCTTCTGTCTAGCAGGCGGATATGTAGGCAGAACACTGTACACATAATAAATAAATCTTAAAAAAAAAATCTGGGTGGTGGTAGCGCACACCTTTAATCCCAGTACTTGGAAGACAGAGACAAGGGCATCTCTGTGAGTTCGAGACCAGCCTGGTCTTCAAAGAGAGTTCCAGGACAGTCTCCAAACCTACAGAGACACCCTGTCTTGAAAAACAAAAACAACTCCCCCCCAAACAACAACAAAAGAAAAAGAAAAAGGAGATAATGAGATATTCAAAGCTCCCGAAGCAGACACATTTATACATCGCTCATGGCACTGTAGAGAAGCCGAGGCAGACTTTTGGCAGCCAAGCAGCTGAAAAGAAAAGCACTAAACACTACAAAATAGACAAACACCATAAGGAAGATCTATTTGAGGATGTTTTTCCCCACAGTGAGCATTCACGTAGGAAAGAGTTTAAAGCTTGACTTGTATTATACTCAGTGAGTCCTGAGTCAACTATGTTCATATTGTTAAATAGTGTAAGGATTTAAAACAAAAATTATAAAAGGTGTGGGGGGTATGGGCGCAGGTGCCCCCAGAGACCAGAAAAGGATATCAGTTCCCTTGGAGTTGGAGTTACATGCAATTGTGGACCACCTGATTTGGATGCTGGGACCTGAACTCATGTCCTCTGAAAAGTAGGAAGTACTCTTAATCTCTGAGCTTTCTCTCCCGTCCCTCAGAATAATCACTTTTAAAGAGAGTTATATGTTACACTTGCTAGGCAGAGCCACATCATTTTTATAAAGCTCTTCCATTTGGTCACATTGTGTTAAACACACAAAAGAAACACACAACCAGAGATTAAAACAACTGATGTTGAAATAAAACAACAACAAAAGTATACTAGATTTTGAAAGGGACAGTTGACAAAGGCCTCCCCATTAAATAAGCCAGGAGTATTGGCATGCCAAGTTGGTAATTACAGGCTCCCCATCTGTGATTAGATTAGAATCCCATCCTTTTCCTAACATAAACAAAATACTGTTTGTGTATTCCCTGTAGGGAAAAGGGACCAGTCAAAGAAACACACCCTGAGCAGAGCCAAAGAAACACACTTTGGCCCTGCAACCAGAACCAAAGAAATGTACCCTGACCCTAAAACCAGTGCCAAAGGAGCACACTTTGTCCCTGGAATCAGAGTCAGTGAAAGAAATGTACCCTGGCCCTAAAATTGGAGCCAAAAGGCTAAAAAGGACCAGAGAAAGAAACACACTTTGGCCCTGAAACCAGAGCCAAATCTGACCCTAATCCTGTGTAAAAAAGTAACCAATCCCAGAGCAGAGCTCTAGCCAATCTGAGCTCAGCACTGAAATCGGACCAATCCCTACTCTGGAAAAACTTCCCCAATCCCTATATAAACCCTGTGTATGTTCAGCTTGGCTGGTTCAGCTGTCTTCCAATAAACCCCTTTGGACGAGCTTCGGGTGAAGGCTACCCTGGGCAGAGCAGAGCAGAGCAAGCAGAGGCGACCCTGGGCAGAGCAGAGCAGAACAGAGCGACCAGCGCCGTAACACTTGCCCGGGAAACCTTCCTTGACACTTTGCACCCAGCTCCCTGCTCTCTGCTCTCCAGGAGCAGAGCTGAACTGTAGCAACTTCGCCCGAGAAACCTCCTGCGGAGCAAAACTGCTACACTAGGCGAACATCCCCAGCTGGAAGACCCTGTCCTGCCGGAGCGGAGCTGAAACACCAGAGAAGCCTTTCTCTGAGGCAAGGCTGTAAGCTGCCAAGCTTACTGCAACCTGTGGTGGTCCTTGGCTCCCGAGCTCCAGGATACCTTTACATCTGAGCTGTGTAACACTCAGTATCCTTGGCTCCCGAGCTCCAGGATACCTTTCCACCTGAGCTGTGTAACACTGAGTATTCTGTGACTCCCGAGTGCCAGAATACCATACCTGACCCACTCCTGTTCCATCCTGTCCTGACCCATCCCGACGAAACGCTTACATTCCCAATATTTCTCCTTTGCTTCAAAATGCCATGAGCCTGAGACCATGCCAAACACCACCATTCCAAATACCACCATTCCATTGGTAATCACATTTGAAATTTTATGAGTACACTGGACCTTATGTACTCATAAAAAAAATGGATACCCTAAACCTTTGTGTGTCAAATTTCAGACAAAAGCAGCTAGATTGACTTGACACCCATTTCCTAAATACTTTTAGGGTCTCAACTCATGAAGGAAAATTATTAGGTACCTATGAAGATAATATCAGGCTTGGAGGCCCTTAAGGGATGACCCTTCCTTCATGAATTTTGCATGCTTCTGGCCCTTCTTGCTCATCCTCTGAAGCTCCCCTGCTTTCTGCTATGTGGCAGCTTGGAGCTGTCACTGACTTTTTAACAAACCTGCCTGTGAACTTCGACCCTAACTTAAGTGGCTCAACTTTTTTATTTTTTATTTTATTTTTTCGAGACAGGGTTTCTCTGTATTGTTTTGGAGCCTGTCCTGGAACTCACTCTGTAGACCAGCCTGGCCTCGAACTCATAGAGATCCACCTGCCCCTTTCTTCTTAGTGCTGGGATTAAAGGTGTGCCTTGTCTTTTAAGCTGTCTAATCAGTCTTGTATCCCAGAGACTAAAATCATATCCAGGATACTGCCAAAAGACACATTATCAGTGTGCTTCTCCTCCAAAATTTCTACCAGAGATTGTGCCAAGACTCATGTTACCCTTGCCCAGTAGGAAAGAGCTATAAGAATAATAGCCATGTCTCATTCTCTACCTGTGTAATAGAAGCAAGTCAGGAGCGTGTCCATGGCTCCCCCTTCATAAGCTCTCCCTCTCCTCTCCCTCCCTTTCCCCTCCTCCCTCCCTCCCTTCCGCCTCTCTCTTGCCCTCCTTCCCCCCCCCCACCCTCCCGTGTTGGCTCCTCACCCCCACTAGGGACTGTTGACTCACTATTCATGTTTCATTACCAGTAACAAAATAACAACAAATACAATTTAACTTAAAATAATTTTTCCAGCTCTGACAAACTCTACCACCTGGAGGTCAAACATAGTCAGATCTTAGTAAGCATGATGCCAGCCTGGTCTACACAGCAAGTACTAGGCCAGTCAGGACTACTTAGTAAGTGTAGGGAAAAGGGACCAGTCAAAGAAACACACCTTGAGCAAAGCCAAAGAAACACACTTTGGCCATGCAACCAGAACCAAAGAAATGTATCCTGACCCTAAAACCAGTGCCAAAGGAACACACTTTGTCCCTGGAATCAGAGTCAGTGAAAGAAATGTACCCTGGCCCTAAAATTGGAGCCAAAAGGCTAAAAAGGACCAGAGAAAGAAACACACTTTGGCCCTGAAACCAGAGCCAAATCTAACCCTAATCCTGTGTAAAAAAGTAACCAATCCCAGAGCAGAGCTCTAGCCAATCTGAGCTCAGCACTGAATCGGACCAATCCCTACTCTGGAAAAACTTCTCCAACCCCAAGAATCCCTATATAAACCCTGTGTATGTTCAGCTTGGCTGGTCCAGCTGCCTTCCAATAAACCCCTTTGGATGAGCTTTGGGTGAAGATCTTCTTTTGTGGCCGCGACAGAGCATAGCAAGCAGAGGTGACTCTGGACAGAGCAGAGCAGAGCAAGCAGGGCTGTAACACTTGCCTGGGAAACCTTCCTCTGCAGAGTGGAGTTGTTACACTCTGCTCCTCGCTCCCTGCTCTCCGCTCTCCAGGAGCAGAGCTGAACTGTAGCAATGTCACCCGAGAAACCTCCTGCCTGGCAAAACTGCTACACTAGGCGAACATCCCCAGCTGGAAGACCCTGTCCTGCCCCAGCGGAGCTGAGAAGCCTTTCTCTGAGGCAAGGCTGTAAGCTGCCAAACTTACTGCAACCTGTGGCTCCCGAGCTCCAGGATACCTTTCCACCTGAGCTGTGTAACACTGAGTATTCTGTGACTCCCGAGTGCCAGAATACCTGACCCACTCCTGTTCCATCCTGTCCTGACCCATCCCGAAACGCTTACAGTAAGACCCTATTTTAAAAAAGGGAGGGGTAGAAAAAGTTAGTTTTCCATTTGTTTCCATATTTTCATTACATTTAATTAAAGGCCTTTTAAGACTATATGGTAAGCTTGAGGCTAGCCTGGGATACATGAGACTATTTCAGGGAAGGAAGGAAGGGAGGGAGGAAGGAAGGAAGGAAGGAAGGAAGGAAGGAAGGAAGGAAGGAAGGGAAGAAGGAAAGAACCAAATCATTATCTCTGTGGTTGGGGATACAGTTCAATGCTTATCTAACATGTGCAAGGCCCTGGTATGCTGTTGCATGCC